CCGACCAGCAGCGACGACCGCGCCGCCTGAGTTCACCGTCAACCCCAAGCCCCGACGAGCCCCCGCCGGCGAACTCCGACCCTAGTCACCGCCTCACCTCCTCTCCGACCTCCTTCCTGAAACGCCGTCAGCCCCATTCGCCACCACCACGACCAGCCTTCGCCGTCGCGACCAGCAGCCATCTCCCTTCCCCTCTCCTCTCCGCCGCTGACCGCCAGTTTGTTTTTAATGTAAAAATTGTAACTTTTTGCTTAAAATCATCAAACACGTTCTATAAATGCATGAGTGAATCTCGATTCACTTCAGTGAATCGAGATTCACTGCAGTGAATCGAGCTTGTTTTTACTTCAATAAACGCATGAGTGAATCTCGGTTCACTTCAGTGAATCTCGATTCACTGCAGTGAATCCAGATTCAATTATGTGAGGTGTTTATTTTTTACCATAAAAATCATAACTTTTTGCTGTAAAAGGTGAAAATTTTTCATGTTATAAAATTTTATAGCTTGTTTTTTACCATAAGTTTCTTATTCTGCTTGGATGGTTAGAATGATTCACAAATCCAGTGGAGCAGCAAATCGATTGGAGTGAATCCAGATTCAATTCGTTGGAGTGAATCTGGATTGAAGATCAATTCAGTGAATCCAGATTCAATGCGTTGTTGTGTTCTTCATGTGAGATTTACAGAGATCGGGAAGCGAGTTAGAGAGAGAGAGTATTAAAGAATGTAGCACTATTAATGTAAGAGAGAGTATTAAAGGACGTGTATTAAATTTGTATCATTGTTCCAATGTAATCAGTCACCATTAATGCAATGAATTGTTCCAATTTTACCCTTTTCACATTAATGCAGTGTATTAAATTTGTCTATATTTACAATTCTGCCATCGAAATCTAGGCCATTGGATGAAATAGAATGTAGGGTTAGGATTGGTTTTTAGTTCTCTAGGTTTTTATTAGAACCTCTCCCTATATATATATATATGATATATTTACTATATATACTTTAATAATATATTGTTTAATTTAATCATAGATATAATGTACTTTATAAAATATTATAAATTTTAGCTTTATTCAATGTAATACTTTTTAAAATTTTATATAAAAATTAAAATATATATATATATTATATATATATATATATATATATATATATATATAATATATATATATATTATATATATATATATATATATATATATATATATTATATATATTATATATATATATATATATATATATATATATATATTACATGATAATTACAAATTATATATATTAAAAAGTATCATGTTTAGTTAAATATATTATATTATTTCAAACTATAGTATTATATTATATTATTGATTCATAATATTTTACATAATATTAGTAATTATTATATTGATATATAAATAGTATTCATTATATATAATAACTATAATAATATTTTATAAATTAATTATATAATAATATATTATATAATAATATATGTTATTAAAATATTATATAATATTATAATAAATACGTTATACTATAATTACTAATTAATATTATATAATAATATATTACATAATACTATTAATATATGTTATTAAAATATTATATATATGTTATTACAATATTATATAATATTATAATAAATACGTTATACTATAATTACTATTATATAATATTATTAATATATGTTATTAAATTATGTTATTAAATTATGTTATTAAAATATTAATATATGTTATTAAATTATGTTATTAAAATATTAATATATGTTATATTTTATATATCATGTCATATATTTATAATATAATTGCATGTATTAGTTAAGTAATATAAAAATATTTTAAAATTATCTCAATTGCCTTCAAAGTGGAACAACATTGTTCCAATATGGAGGATGGGGTAAATTTTTACTATTGGGATAATTTTTTTATATATAAGCGGGGTAATTTTATCCCAAGTGGTGTAATTGTCACACTAGTGTTCCAAAAACCAATAACACAAAAAGGTATTATCCTTGTTCCATTGTCCCAATAAATAACACTATGAAATAGAATTCCCAAAATTATCTTATTATCCCCCAAAATATCCCAACCAATAACCCCCCTTAGGGGGGTTATTGGTTGGGACATGTTGGGCTAAGTGGGATAATTGTTCCAATGGAACAATTTTATTCATTTGGGATATTTTGAGTAGTGTAAAGTGAGACAATTTAGGATAATGGGACAATTTGAAGCTTTGATTTGATAATTCATGTGAGATAATTGATGATGTGGCACCTTATTAAAGTACAATATTTATCTATTAATTAAGTCTAAATTAATTTACCTAATTGGTTTTGCATATTATTTGATATGTTATTATAATGTAATACATTATTTTACTTTATACTAAACTATAATATATAATATTATAATTACTAATTAATTATAACTATATTTAATGTTATTAATTAATTTAATATAATATATTATAATAATATGATATATTACATAATAATTGATATAATATACAAACAATATATTTAATATAATATTTCAATAATATAATATTTAATCAAATATTATAATATTTTGTTTAATTCAATATAATATTATTTATATTAAAAGAAGAATAGAATTGGTCACTCTTTATTTCATTAGGAATCCCCTTTATATAGGGTGTTAAATATAGGGTTTCATAAATACATGAAGAATTAAATTACTCTTCATCAATTACTTTGACAAAGGCACACTAATTGTGTTTTTCCTTTAGCACTCCCCCTTGTGCCAAGTCAAATAGTGAAATGGTGCATGAGTTGTTGCCTCGTTAAAAACCTTGCCAAGTAACAAAACCCATTGGGAAAAATAAAACTTGGTCGAAGGGAAAAAGAGAACAACGCACCTAATACAATGAATGATAATATGTGTGTGTTGAGAACTCCCCCTAAAATCTACACCTCTCCCCTAATCTGTATAATAAAGGTAGTTCAGAAAATCTCTGCATCCCTATGTTTCTCAAAGATAGCCTTAGGTAATGACTTGGTAAACAAATATGCTGCATTTTCTTCAGAGCTTACTTGATTCACTTGAATCTTGAGGAAAGCCTGTTGTTGCTAGTTGTAGAAAAATATTGGTGATATATGTTTTGTATTATCACCTTTGATGTAACCTAGTTTCATCTGTTCATTGCAAGCTGCATTGTCTTCATAAATACAAGTGGACTCTTCAGTGGTAGAACTCAAACCACTAGTCCCTCGAATATGTGTGATGATAAACCTTAACCATATACACTCGCGAATTGCTTCATGTAGGCCAATGATCTCTAAATGGTTCAAGGAGGTATCTATAAGAGTTTGCTTGGTAGATCTCTAGGATATCGTTGTGTTCCCCATGGTAAATACATAACCAGTTTGGGGGCGTCCTTTATGTGGGTTAGATAGGTACCCAGCATCTGCTAAACCAACCAAAACATTTTTTGGTGTTTTGGTGTAGGGGTGGCGATCTTGCCCTTAACATTTCCTTAGAGGTTGTTGTATCATCTGTGATCCCTCTTGTCTCTCTATAGGGGAAGAACAGACTCATGTCAATGGTTCCTTTTAGGTATCAAAATATATTCTTGATGCCATTCTAGTGACGTTGCGTTGGTCCTGAGCTAAATCTAGCTAACAAGTTCACTGAGAAAGCAATATCTGGTCGAGTGCATTGAGCTAAGTACAATAATGCGCCTATTGCACTCAGGTAGGGAATTTTAGCTCCCAACAGCTCTTCGTCATCTTCCCTTGGACGAAATGGATCTTTCTTTATATCCAAACTTTGACCGATCATGGGAGTGCTAACAGGAGGCGCTTTATCCATGTTAAATCGCCAGAGCATCTTTTCGACGTATGTAGAATGGTGAATTAGTATTCCACAAGCTCGGTGTTCTAGTTCAAGGCTTAGACAGAACCGAGTTTTCCCAAGATCCTTCATCTCAAATTCGGATTTCAAATAGCTCGCGGTTTCTCTTATTTCATTAAGAGTACCTATTATGTTTATATCATCAACATATACAGCTACAATTGTAAATCCGAAACTTGTTTTCTTTATAAATACACAAGGGCATAGTTCATCGTTCTTATATCCCTTCCTAATCAAGTAGTCACTCAAACGGGTATACCACATCCGTCCAGATTGTTTCAATCTGTAAAGTGAGCGTTTCAATCTAATTGCAAACGCACTTCGTGGTTTAGAGTCACTTAACTTGGGAAATGGAAGGCCATCAGGCACTTTCATATATATCTCTGAATCAAGATCCTCATAGATATATGCTGTAACAACATCCATAAGCTGCATTTCCAATCCTTCGGATGCTACTAAGTTCACTAATTAGTGAAACGTTATCACCTTCATTACTGGAGAGTATGTCTCCTCATAGTCAATTCCATGGCGTTGTGAGAAACCTTGTTCTACAAGGCGAGACTTGTATCTCAAGACTTTATTTTCCTCATTACGCTTTCGGACGAAAACCCATTTATATCCTACAGGCTTTACATTTAGTGGGGCAAGCACTACCGGACCAAATACTTGTCTTTTTGCTAGAGAATCAAGTTCTGTCTGGATTGCTTCTTTCCATTTAGGCCAATATGCTCTTTGTTGACATTCTGCAATAGAGCATGGTTCGATATCATCATGCTCTATGATCTCTTGAGCAACAGCATATGCAAATATATCATCAATGTGTGTGGAAGATCTTTCTGTCAACTAATACGCACTCTCATAATCCATTGAGATTTCTTTGTTCTTTGTGATCATATCAAACATCGGAGCGTCCTCCAGTAATGATTCATGGACATGACTATAATCAGAGATAATCTCGTGAGAATGATTTTTTTCATTGATGATTAATGGATTAGGTTGTGCCGCATCCGCCCTCTTTTTCCTTGGGTGGGTGTCGATCGACCAGGTGGCCTCCATTTGCCGTATAGTGAGTCTCTTGTTCTTTAGACTCCCTATACCTCTTGTAGTTAGCTACTACTTTGTTGCTTGCCTGGCAGGTCTGGTACTAATGCCCAGTATCTCCACACCTATAGCAAGGTTCATTGTCAAACTCTTCCCTTTTGATCGGAGGGTTCTTAGGTGTCTTTTGTGCCTTGGTGTCATAACCACCAGGTCCACCACCACCGTCTCTGCGCCATACATAGGAAGAGACTCCATGGCCCCTACCACGGCCTCTCCCATGGCCCCCATGTCCCCTACCTCGTGGTGCATTGTTCCTACGTTGCGAGGGATCAGCAAGTCCCGTACCCTTTACTTTGGGGTTCTTTCTACTATTCATTTTACCATAGTTAGCTTTAGGAATTTTCTTTGTCCCAGCAGGTATGACGTTGTTGTTCAGAAGAACCTGATCATGCCTCTCAGCTACTTGCAGCATGTTGATCAACTTATTGAATGTCGTAATTCGTTTGTTGTCATACTCTAGCATGTACAGGTTTGCTAGTATAAGCGTTGAAGTAGGAAAAGTGGAGAGAGTTTTTTGTATCATATCAGCTTCTGTGATTTCCTTTCCACATAAGGTGAGACGTCCTTTTAAGTGCAACATGTCCTTGTTAAAGTCATTGACCCTTTTGTAGTCAAGAAGGCGGATTTCATTCCACTGGACAGTCAGTTCTGGAAGCAAAGTGTCAGGAATGTTCCCAAAACGTCCCATTAGGGCATCCCACAGTTCTTTGGATGTCTTCAACTAAAGGTACTCCCATCATAAGCTAGGGTCAATATGCCACCGCAGAAACATTAGAGCATTTGCTTTGACTTTGTCAGATGGTTCTTCGTCGTTGGGGTCAGCGGATGGTATGATTGTGAAAATATAGTCCTTTCTCATGAAAGTAGTTTCCACGTCAGAAACCCAACGGTGGTACTCAAGTCCTTCTGAGTCTAATATTTCAAATTCGGGTCGAGTTGGTTCAGCCATCTGCTATAAATTGCAACGCAGAGTTAAACCAATATTGAGTTAATCTAACACTGCCCCCAAAGTCAACTTTATGTGCTACAACTTTTATATGTGATGTCATATATAGAAAATGATATTCATAAACAATCAAAGATTTATGACTTGCGGGAAACAAATTTACTTTTAAATTGCAGCAACTAATTGTTCACAAATTTCCTTAACCAAATCTAGTACTTTTGTCTTATGCGGAAAGCATTAAATAATAGATAGAGATTGTAGACGTCAAAATTTGCCTATAGGTTCCCGCATGCAGCTCGAGATGAAGAGAAAACGATGAACGTCGATGTCCGAGTCAAAGAAGTTCATCTGATGCCAAAAGGAAGCAAAGGAACATGCGAAGGAATGCACAGAACGACGAAACAACGGGACGTGAAAATCGACGAAATAGTAGAACCAAAACTTGGACAAAGTGTCGCAAATGCAAGACACTTCAATGTGTCTCACGGGCGAGACACAATGATGTGTCTCTCACACACATCAGTGCCTCGCCCGATCAGCCTCCCGACGACGCGTTTTTCGATAAATTTCTCATGATTCGTTCGTTCCAGTAGCCTCTTAACTACCTTGGGGTTATCTTTAAATGTGATAAAGCTGTTATTAACTGAATATAAGGCCACGGATTCCTATCCACAAACACGGCGTTCAAGCCCTATAAATAGCCACCTTCATGCAATTGTGAAGGGTACTGACGGTTGACTGACGAACATGCGAGAGAACCCACGTTTTCCAGAGCAGAGCCACGATTTACAGAGAGAGAGAGGCGAGGTCTTGGTGATTTTCTAAACATAAAGGGAGAATTTCGAGAGATCCTTAACCTTCCACCTGTTTCCTTGAGATCAGACCTTGTTTTGATCTTGAGAAGAGTGATAATCTCACGTTATTGAGGTTATTCACTTATGTTCTAAGTTTTCCTAATTGAAACAAAGAACACCAAGCCTTCTTTCAGATCAACACAGAACTGTTATTCAGCGGTCCACGGATCAAAGCATCCCCGGTACAGGCAAAGATCTCACGCAAGCAGCGACCGATAAACGATCTTGCGTGTGTTTCTAGGAGATTTCTGTTTATTTCTTTTGTGTAGAGAAGTCTTATAAAAAAGGCTCACTCTTTTGAATCTTGTAATTCGATAAACGAGTTGTAATGGATTCCCAAATGAAATTAATTTCTGACGCAAACACGCTGGCGACCACAATGGGAGCCAACAGTCTCGCTACCGAGACTGTCGCGTCGCAACTGAAGATTAAGATCCCGGTTGATTTAGCGGTCGAGTATGAGTTCGACGAAGTCAAGTTCGAGGAATATTTCTCCTCTTCTTCATCAAAATCCTCCTCTCCCTGCAAGTGCGGAAAGATCTCGTCTTTGAAGGAGGCGTATTCACCGATGAAGGCTACAAGTGACTCCGTTTGCCATAACTCCTCTCCAGTCAATGAGTTGTTCAACCAAAGTACGCTAACTCTGATGAAGAGGGCTCGTCAGAGGCGACGCCAACGCCAAGCTCGTCAAATCGGGAAGGCCTTGGAATAAGTCGATGGGGTTCGTTAGTATGCGGACTTGGAGTCCAGGTGGCGTCAAGTAATCCAGCCACCTCAACGACAATTTGATGTCACTTCCTCCAAACCAACGATGGAAGAATGGGTTCTCATCAAAAAGACTCTTTCAATCTTGAAAGAGCGCATTCAGAAGCGCCGCGCACGTGCCGCACGCGCGCATGCCCTTGTGCGAAAGGCTTAAGACATGAAAAAGAAGGAAATGGCCAAAAAATCGCCAAAGTCCTACAAAGTCTAGGTGCCAAAATTGAAGACTGTGCCGAAATCAAGTGAAATGACTGTAACGACGTCAAATTGTCTCGGCCAAGGTCGAGACACATCAAAGTGTCTCGGCCATGGCCGAGACATCCTAGGGTGTCTTGCCCCAAGGGACACCCTCGCGACTATTTCCTCACATCCAACGACGTCCGCTCCTATCTCGTTCTCTCCCATACTTCCGGTGAAACCCTACGACAGTATTGATCTTTCAAAATTCAAAGTAACGATGGAGGATCGACTCAGTTCTCTACACAAGGATCAAGGCAAAGCTTCGGTAAAAGAACGTAAAGCTCCGGTGATCAAAACCCAAGCAATTCCTCAGACTGGAGTCATACAAACACTCTCGTCAAGCCAAATGCCGCCCAAGTGTGTCCCGCCGCTTCCAAACAAACCGGGACACCTTAATATAGTTGTTCGTGTGACGTGCACAAAAGAGGCAAGGAGGTCTCCCCTTCTGGGAGAATTCCTATCACTTCTTGCCTGGGGGTGTGTGTCAAAGTCCAGGAGCCCATTGAGATTCTACATTTGTAAGGGGGTGGTTCCAAACGTGCGACTCCTGAGAATGCCAATAAGGCCTTGTACTCCTAGAAGAAGACATGTCCGTCAAAAGACAACGTCATACCTGGGGAATCGAACCAACGATCGATAGGTTGCTCCGATCATCATGCCGATGAGTTGCACCATCATGCTGGGGGTGCGAACAAATCTTGGAAGAGGATTGTCCAAAAAACGATTTCTCATTGTCCATGCGAGATACTTATTAGGGTAGTATTATCAAAATGTAGCTGCCCCAGGACCATTTCACAAAGGGTCTCGGTATTCGAGAAACTTACAACTGAAGCATCAAAGCTCAGATCAAAACGCTTCCACGAGAGAAAATCTGCCATCCAGGATGATGAATTCCCTGAAGTCACCATCAACATATTTGATAAAGAAAAGTCTGCGATTGATTCAAATGACTCTAATCCTGACTTTTCTCCGGGAAGAAAAGTTGATTCAGGAATAGCCCAATGAATGTTTCGACTTCAATTAGGAGCCACCAGAATTCACGAAGGACTGTCCTCAGACGATGAGCCTTTGGACACTTGTTTTGCAATCGCTTCGTACGATACAGTGTCCAGCATAGGGGAAGCCAGGGAGGCATTAATGATCACTCCTGATCAATTAGCTCAAGTACTTCAAAAAGCTCTAGCCAAGCAAAAAGAGGAACTCAGAGCTGAGATGAAGGCAGAGATGGAGTTGGCTATGCAAGAAATAAGAGAATTGCAGGCTCAACAACATCAATTAGTCAAGTCCGTTCAACGAGCTGAAGCCAGTCTTCGTAATGACATAGTGGTTCAAGCCAATGTCGTCAACAGTGTCTAGAGGTGGACGAACATTTCTTCGCTGACACTCCTCCCAAAGATAAAAACGCTGGGGGTGGTCTAACTCACTCTCCTCAACGTCCTTCGAAGGAAGATGTAGACGAGAACAAGAAGATGAAAGAGCTGGAGAGTAAGAACAGTGCCTTAATGTCCGCTCAAGAAATTAAGAAGATCAGCATTCCATGCCCGTATCTAAGGGAGTGGGACGTGATTCCGTACCCATCGAAGTTTAATTTGATTAACTTCACGCCATTTGACGAGAGAGGCTCGCCAACCCAACACTTGGTTTACTTCAAATCCCATTTGGGTATAATCTCTGGGAATGAACCCTTAATGATTCGGTCATTCGTAGGGCATTAATAATTAGGATGACATAGAAAATCTCTTCCTCAGTAACTTCTTTGACGATGACACTAAGGTATCAATCGGAACTCTTCTAGACGAGAAGCAGAAGAGCGGAGAGTCGGTCGACATCTTCGTCAAGCGCTTCCGGAATAAGGTGATGAATTGCCAGGATCCGATCACAGAGGAGTTCATCCTCCAAACTTGTCATAACAATCTTTTTCTGGATGTGTTGGAAGCCATGGGGGTGGCGCCATCCAAAATTTGGAAAGAGCTGAAGGTACACGGAGAACAAGTTGAACGCTTTCTCAAAAGAAAAAAAGCTGAGAGAAGTTAACTGACGGCACCTGCAATTGCTATGAACGCCAACCAAACGTCACAACAGTAACCCAGAGGCAACAGAGGACTCCCCATCCGAGATCCCAGAAGGAGTATTCTTTCAAAGATGATGAAGTTTCATCCATCTTTAAGTACCTCCTCGCCAACAACAAAATAAAGTTTCCACTTATTGCGAATCAAGAGGAAGCTAGCAAGACTTCAGATCCAAAATACTATATGTATCATAGGAGGGTTCAACATCCCACCAAGAACTGTTTTGCCATTAAAGACAGTATCCAAGTCTTGGTTGACATTGGTATCATAACGGCAAAATAAGCCAAATGAGAATGGCAAAAACTCTAATGAGTATACGAGTATAAATTACTTTTTCCAACCTCCAATCAGTATACGAGTATAAATTGCTTCTCCCGGACTCTGATGAGTACACGAGTATAAACTGCTTTTTCCAAACTCCAATGAGTATACGAGTATAAATTACTTCTCCCAGACTCCGATGAGTACACGAGTATAAACTACTTCTCCATGTTCCTCCGACGGGTATATGAGGTTAAACTGTTTCTCTTATTTCTAACAACGGGAAGTTCTTGGAGAATACTATACATTGTGTTCTTAAGGATAACCCAACAGCGTGGCTAAAAATACTGTGCTCCCCATTGGACTCAGTTTCTCTAAAAAAGCTAGGGGTCGATACGAAGTTCAAGGAGAATACAGATTCAGGAATCGAGACATGATTCTGTGACAGTGTTGCCCACCAATGGGAGGTTTCTGGAGAATACTACAAATGATATTCTTAAGGATAACCAGAGATCAGCTAATTATTCAAGATGAAGACCAGTCATCTGAATAATTT